TGGAGCGGGCGGCGGCGGGACGGGAACGGAGCATTCCCGGGATGGGTAACGGGAAGAGGAGCCGCCGGAGCGCATGTGACTGCCCAAGTCGTCCGTACCCGGTGCTCTGTGCCGCAACGGTAGCACCAGCTTCAGCCCGAGGTGGGGTAGCGCCAAGGCACCGCTGGTGCTCGCAAAGACAAACTGGAAAGGGCTGGTGCACCAGTTGCTCTGCACCGTTTAGGGCTTATTTGTAATTAAAGCATCATTAAATACCAAAAAACATCCAATATCTTCCACTCAATGTGTAGATTTTAGGGGTTTGGAGCGTTTTTCTTGCAAGCAGAGTTAAATTGAGCTCCACAACCTAACTGCCATTGCAGCAGTTGGAAAACTATTTCAGTACTACTTAGCACATGGGAACCTGCTGCCTGTTGAACATTCGTCTGTTTCCTCTTGTCCTATCACACTCCTTGTACAGCAAGAGGGAGGTCAGACATTAACTCGAATTGCTCTGTTAACAGGCACTGATGTGACAGCTTCCCATCTGGAGAACACGGAAGGAGGGAAGGAGCACACCTGCTAAAAATCACTGGCAAAAGATCAGGCAGCTACTCACAGCAGAAAGCAATGGGAAGTGAAACAGCTCTAACAGGAGGTAAAGCTCTCACCAAGCACCATTTCTGTGTTGCAAACTGGTTCTGTGTTGCTTTGAAACCAAAGGGCACAGTGAAGTCAAAGATCAGACTCCGAGGGTGCTGAGGCACTGGCACAGGGTGCCCAGAGGAGCTGTGGCTGCCCCAGCCCTGGCAGTGTTCAAGGCCAGGTTGGACACAGGGGCTTGGAGCAACCTGCTCTAGTGGAAGGTGTCCCTGCCAGTGCAGGGGATTGGAACTGAATGAGCTTTAAGGTCCCTTCCAACAGAAACCAGTCTGGGATTCTATGACCTTAAATGCAACCCCTCCCTCTGATCAGTGTGACTCAGCAGCAGGGTACATCCTTACACTGCGGTTACATTTACAAACAAGACATCTCACCCAGACAGTGTAACTGTTTCACCAGTAGCTTTCATCACAGTTTGAGGACAAACTCTTTTTCAACAGCAAGTGACTGCTGAAGTTATCTGCAGTCAAGAGAAGTCACAAATGCATTTTGGTGGCAGAGAAAGGGGGGAAACGTGTTTTGCCAGAAAACTATGAGCCACCAATTGAAGACAGCCTGTACTTCCGCTCCTGTCGGTTCTAAAAAAAACTTCTTAGTGTACAATAATCTTTTGTTGGTACTAAAATAATTTAACCCAGATGATTTACAAATGGATCTACCCAAAGCTTGCTTTACCAGCAACCCAGGTACTTTAAGTGGGCAAAGAGGAATACATGTTCACACAGCCAGTACCTCCACTTCTGTTCTGGTTGTTAAACCCACAGCACCGTCCCCTCCCTCCAGTGCTCCTTAGGGAGCACTTTGTGAAGAGGGAACAAGTTTTAACTGATCTAGTGTGGACCCAAAAAGCACAGCCTCAGCCTGAACCTTGCCACTCCAGACTCCCCACAGCAGCAAAGGCTTGTCTAAACATAGCACTCCTGTCACAGCACATGCCTAGTTCCAGTGGTTTCACCCTGGCAGTGGTCAGGGGAAAATTAAAAGCTCTAAGTTTAATGCAAGATCTTAATCTATCTCTATCAAGATTAAGTTTGGGCACTGCCTTTGAAACACTCTGAACGGCTTTTGTTGCAAATTTACCAGATTAAGTGATGTCATGTAAAAAGACAGAGTCAAAACCAACTGTACATTTGTGGCCTTTATAGTAGAGTAGCACAGGATCAACAGCTCTGAAGGTCTGGAACCATGACTTTCACCATCCCTTCCATAACAGTCTTTGCACTGTCTCTGACTTTACACGACACCGAAATGTGAGCAACAGAACCCTTCAGGTGTTGCACTTCTGCTCCAGCTACAACCTCCTCACCAGGATACAAAGGCGCTGTAAATCGGATCTCCTGAGAAAGAAATATACATCCTTGACCTGGCATTTTAGTACCCAGGACTGCAGAAATAAGCCCATTGATCAAAACTCCATGTACAACAATTCTCCCAAACCTAGATTTCTTTGCAAAATCTTCATTTAAATGCAAAGGATTTGTGTCACCTGTTAAATGAGAAAACGTAATAACATCATCCTGGGTAAAAGTTTTGGCAATTTCAGCTTTGTCTCCAACTTTTAGGTGTAAACTCTGAAGTACAGGACGTCCAAACAGTGAGTTGATAAACATGAGCTTTGTCAAGGCTCCTTGTGGTAAAACCCCTCCAAAAATTCCACGCTTGAAGAGTTGCAACATCTCAAGCAACTTCGGCTTCGTACGACCAGACCAACAACTGTGTTCAATCCAAGACTAGTTCTCTGCTGTTGCCAGCTAATGCAAGAAGAAATGGAGATGCCTGGTTTGGGAGAAAGCAAGCAAACAACAAAGCAAGAAACAAACTTAAAGCATTGAATAAAAACAATCACTCAAAGTTTAAAATACTTAAATTTTCCTTTTACATCAAAGATTAAAAACTTAAGAGCTATGCCCCAGCAGAGTTTTGTTAAGCCATGGTTTCAGAGCAAAGAATTCTTGGAAATCACTTTATTAAGCAGCATCCTCCAGAAAAACTAAGCTCTGGAAGTGCATGTTCACACATACGTTTTTAAATGACATCAGGTGACAGTGATTATTAGAAAGGGAAGAAATGGGGTAGGGAAAATCAAATATTGGACCAAGATGTTGACAAAGAACAAAACCTTTCCAGAAATTATTTTCTTGCAGGTGTATTAATGAGCTCAAGACTCATCACTGGAATAAAGCCATAAAGTAATGAGACACCCATTACTGTCACATTTTACAAGGTTCATTACCAGAATTGCTCAAGCACAGGCCTACACACCTGCACTGAAACACATTTCAAATCCAAACCAAGATGGTTTTGCATCCAGGGCATCTTTCCAGGACGAGGCAGTGGGCAGAGCCACAGCCCAGCCACCCAGCCAGGCTTAGAGTGAGAACTTATACCTTGGGGAGACAAGACCAGGTTGGACGGGTCTCAGAGCAACCTGCTCTAGTGGAAGGTGTCCCTGTCCATGGCAGGGGGGTGGAATTAGATGAGATTTAAGATCCCCTCACTCAAACCATTCTATGATTATAGGACATCCAGTGCCCACAGGGCTTTACCTGCAGCACTCGAAAGGCACACCTCCTGTTCTGGTAGAAGCCCAGCAATGTTAGAGCACTCCACAGCTTGACAAGGCCACTAAGAAAACAAAGTATATTAATGAAAATTGGTTTTCTCAGTTTTCCTGTGGCATAAACAGCTTAAATAAAAACCATGTTACATACAGAGCAGTGAAACCGTAACTGAGTGTAACAGCAGGTATTTCACCACTGAATTCTACCAGCAACAGCATGTCCTGAAGGGACACTGCAGTGATGACAGCTTCTTGTCCCTGACAGAGAGATATATGCACTGTAACCTTTTCAAGGTCACTTTACTGCCCTGTTCTTGTTCTATCTATGCATCTATCAAAATCATCTGCAGTTGTCATCACCATTTACAGACAATAATCATTCTCATCTTTACCACAATAAGAGATTTAAAGCCATGTGTTTCGATGGTGCATAGTTCCTGTCAGACCATTCTGTTTCAAAGCAGGAGTAACGTACTGAGGTGTGTAGGTGACCAAATCCTAGTGATTTTTTGATCTTTTCTGCATGCTGTATGCAGACATTTATAAGTCAGGTTTAATTCTTCTCAGACCATTCTCAGCTTAAGAGTCTTCTTATGAAAAGCATTTTCATGGCAGTACCTGAAGCGTGTACCTGCTGCACCTTACCTGCTAACAACTCTTAATATGGCAGAGAGAGTTTTTTCCTCATATGTTAAGATGTCGACAGGCAAAGCTGCTCCAACCTATGAAAAAAATACATTATTAAGTAAGTTCCATCCTATGCTCTTGTAGTGATGGTTTATAAGAAAATTATTTCATTTCCAGTACACAGAAGTCGTAGTTAAGCTCACATCTCACACGAGTGTTTAAGCAAGGACACCACTATACTTTATGCAGCATCCTTCCCCTCGGAGCTCTTCAGATAAAGCCACTTTTAGTTCCACATTACCGACGGAAGACAAAGGAACCAGAGGTGACAAGACTTATTTAAAGACGCCCGGCAACACAGTAAGCAAGGCACGAACAGTTTCTGCAGACTTCCTCGACCAAGAAGCCATTCCCTTCCCACTGTTCTCCTTTTAAAGCCTCACTACAGCGAATCCATCAATACCCCAAGGTCTAAAAGCAGATATACCGGAGCCACTTCAGTACAGACACTAAACCGAAGCGTACAACCCCGCCTCACCCGCAACAAGTTACAACGTGGGCTGGCGAACCGGTAACACGCTACGTGCGGCAAACCGGAGCCCCTTATCCCGCCTCCTCAGCCCCTCTCCGCAGCCAGGCGGGTGCTCTCCGGCGGCAGAAGCCCGGGGCCCCGCTCGGTCCGGGCTCACCTCTCCGTGCAGCTCCCTCAGCGCCGCCACCA